CCATTAATAAGTTCCGCCTGTTGACATATTGTTGATTAAAAGTGACAAAAGAGCGACCATGTGGATTAAAAGAGTTACAAACACTACCTGGTGGAAAAGTAAAAGTTAGGACAACTCAACACTTATCCTAAAGTTAGGAGAGTTTATTTAAGGTTTTAAGAAGTTAGTGCTTCTCTAATACCCTTTTCCTATCTGTAGTTCGGAAAGGAACATTAACTTAGGAACTGTTTATCTGTAATTGCCTTATTCACAACCCTTATTACCATGGTTACCAAGCAGTTAGGATTAGGGATGCACCGAATGTTCGGTCACTGAAATTAATCGGCCAAAAATAGCAAACAAAAGTCAATTACATTGACATGTCGGCAGTGTGGAAGCATTTTAAAGTGTCTGAGAAAGCCGCATAAATCGCAGTTTGAGGCCACAGTTCTGCTGAACTGTCCACTCCATCTGTGGCTGACTTCTTAGAAAATAACCGCTTTAAGTGTTTCTGTCACTGGTGATTAAGCTAGCCGCACCTAAATTAGTAGTGCTCATATAGTGATAGTGCACCCGTATTCAAGCCTTTATGGTAAATCCACTGAAACGGACCAGTGCGAGTCGACAGGCAGGTTAGAGACTTTATCATTCATTTTCTCTCTTTACAAAGACAAGCGTTGCAGTACCTCCTGAAGAGAGGCTGTGAAGTCTTCATGTTACAAAATGGGTTGGACTTGATGAATTTAGCACCAGGATACACATGTAACAACGTCAGGTTTTGAAAATAAGGTGTCTATACAGAAGGCAAATAAGATTATTGGATTAAATTCACAGAAAGTATAGAACATATTACATGTGTCCATTAAAAGTAAACGGACCCACCCTCCATAGTATCTCCAAATCCTGTGGGAAACACTGAGTAAAGAAACTTGTCCGATGTTCGGCAAATTTTTTCATTATATTCGGCTTCGGCCAAGAATTCTCGTTTCGGTGCATCCCTAGTTAGGATAGGAAGTTTCTGTAATACGGCCCCTAATCATTAACTAATTCAAAACTAGAGCTAGACTAGGGTTTTATTCATATTAATGCCCGAAGTCTACTCCCCAAACTTGATTTTAAACAAACTTGGGCCCACTCAACAGATACTGATATTCTTGTAATCTCAGAAACATGGCTTGGTAAATCTATTTTAGATAAGAATATAGCAATTAAGGGTGACAATGTCTACCGTTGTGACCGCCCCAGGAAGGTTGGTGGCATTAGCATTTATATAAAAAATAGTTTTTTTTGTAACATTGTGTATTCGGTATCCATTAGTAAACAGCTAGAGCTTTTAGCCTTGAAGATGGAGCTCGCATTGGGGCAAACAATGACGGTCATAGATTGCCATAGACCACCCTCAGCAAGTACTGAGGAAGTACTCTTTGCTCTTTAAATCATCATGTATCGAGCATTGAATTTGAAGAGGTACTTTTAGCCGGGGATTATAACCTGGATTGGCTGTCCTCCATTTCAGATAGTTTTAAATCTGCCCAAATGCCCTGAAAAGTCCTCTTTACTTGATTTGTTTTTAACTAATGCTCCACACAAGTTCTCAGATATTGGTGTGTTTGCTAATGACCTGAGTGATCATTGTACAATCGCAGCAGTTAGGAATGCTAAAATCCCGAAACGGAGGCCTCGGATTATTTTCAAAAGGGATATGAAGCATTTCTGTGAACAAGCCTTTTCACATGACCTGTTTCACTTTGATTGGAACAAAATCTTTCTTATAGATGAAGTACAATTGGCCTGGAACTACTTTTATGATGGTTTTCTTAGGATCATAGAGAAGCATGTTCCTGTACGCAAATTTAGAGTCAAAGGCCGAAACAATCCCTGTTTTTCTCGTGAGATTTCCTGCCTTCTCAAGTAAAGGGATGCTGCCTGGTCAAAGGCCAGGAAATCAAAGACTGATGCTGATTGAGTCTTCTTTTGGCAACTGAGAAATATCCCAAACATTTCTGGAAAATCATGAAAGCCTCCTTTGGAAACATTAGTTGTAGTGAACTACCCCCTCATGATTGATTCTAAAGTTAGCGGCTGACTTCATTGCAGAGCCTCTATCTTATATCTTTAATTTAACATTTATTGAAAATGACATCCCCAAAGTATGGCAGTCAGCCCATGTTACACCCCTACTAAAAGGGGGCGATCCCTCCATTTTAAACAACTATAGGCCTATTTCCAAGCTGTGTGTTCTAGAAAAGCTCCTTGAACGCTTGGTTGGTGAGCAGCCAAAGGAATTTTTTAATTCAAATGACATCTTATCCCCCTTTCAATCTGGTTTTAGGAAACAACACAGGACCATATCTGCAGCATTGAAAGTGATAAATTATATTGTTGGGGCACTGGATAACAAGAAAATATGCGCTGCACTGTTCATAGATCTTTCAAAAGCTTTTGATACAGTTGATCACTGCGTTCTGCCAAATAGACTACTGAGCATTGACCTGTCTAAGCATTCAGTAGATTGGTTTGCAAATTATCTGTCAGGTAGAACCCAAAGTCAAGGCTCAGTACTTGGGCCCATATTGTTTTCAATTTATGTAATCAATTAAATAAAAAAAAATAAGTAAGACTGAATCATTCATTGACACGATAACTAACAAACACCAACTTCTGTTAGCTAAGTGACAAAGTGACTGACCAAATAACCACCCAACTGACTAACAACTGACAGGCTACCTTACTAACACTTTAACAGACAGACTAACAACCTGACTGAGACTTACTAATTTCCTAGCTAATTAACGGAAAAATAACTGAGAGACTAACTGACTTACTAACTTGTAAGTGTACTAACTAATGGAACATGACCTGCAGGGCGACAACTTGACGGACTAAGTAACTAACTTGCTCTCCTGCAGGGTGACCAGGTCACACCAGCAAGGTGCAGGTGTACCTTCTAACTAACTAACTAACTGACTAACTAGTTGCTGACCTGCAGGGCGGGACCCTCTGCAAGGTGACCGGGTCGCACTTTGGTACCAGCAGTGTGCAGGCGTAGAACATGAGGTACTGGTAGCAGCCGGTCTGGACCAGGGCGGGGAACAGAGAGGACTCCCAGGACACGGCGCTCTCTCGCTGGGAATGATGACCCAGGTAGTTGGGGAAGCTGGTCAGGTTGTAGGGCAGGTTCATACAGAGCTCCAGGGTGATGGGCTCACAGCGAGCTGAGACACAGAGACGCAGAGTCACCACCGGAGGGAGACATGTACCAATCAGCTTGTACAAACAAATGCACTTTACCCAGACATCCGTGGTGGAAAGTACCTGCATACTGTACATGTACATAAGTACAATTACTTGAGGATTTCCATTTCTGCTGCTTAATACTTCTACATTTATGTACCGGTGCTGTGTCCGGTTCTTGCTGCAGAGTGAGAACTCACTGCAGTTGTTGTTGTTGTTTCGGGGGTCACAGGCGGCGGTGCCCCCCGCACACAATGACGGACAGGAAGTGGAGATACAGCTGGGCTGACCGGGAACACACGTACCCTGATCTGGAAAAAGCAAAACAGAAATGTAAGAATCAGAGAAGAAGACGGCGATCTGAGACAAGTGCTAGGCAGACAGACGTCTCACTCTGATCTCTGCTGCAGTGTTCTTCATCGCTGCCGTCTTTACAGTCGTCCTCTCCATCACAGCGAAACGCAGAAGGAATACACTGACCGTTCCTGCACTCCAACAGACCCTGGCTCTTACAGGCTGCACAAACACAGACAGATTTACCATCAAATGTAACGAAACACCAGCCAATTCGGTTGAGCTTAAATGTTAAATATCATGAGGGACAAACAGATTTCAGCAGCATGAATCATCACAGTGACTCAGCTGTGTTTTCACACTCTGTCATGTTGCATTGAGGTAGACTCTGACTCAAGTCACAGCTTCATTTTCTAGAGATTTAAGGAAGACAGACAAGTAAACAGAACTCGAGCTTGGTTTTTATAAGTAGAAAATGTTTCAAACGTTCAGT